CATTAGTTTAAGCGAACTAGGAATTTGTAGGATTCATAGACTTAAACTTAGAATTCTAAGCGTATGATTACGATATTAGAACTAGCATGTAAACGTTTCAGAGTCTATAGTGAATAAAGATCTAAATTCACCTTATTCGGTGTATAGATCAAGATTGCAAAGAACCGTAGCAGAAACGTAAACGCAAATGGAGATAGGAACCAACCCCCAGTGGTTCAGCAAATACCTGTTGTTGAAGAAGTTGCACCTGAGCCAGTCACCATGGCTGGAGTTCAAGCCGTAATTCAAGCTATGCTAGCTGAACAAAGGGAAGAAATGAGACGAATTCTCCACGAGAATAGGGACGAATCTACCATACATGTTGAACCGATGGAGCCAATTCCCGAGCAATCCGAGGAATGGAACTACAACCGCCAAGTGAGTCAAATAGGGACTCAAGGTGAGCAAAGGGATGGCCCAGAAGGGAGAAACAACAAGGATGGGCGGATGTACAAAAATTTCTTGGGTGCGAAACCACCAAGTCTCTCAGGAAGCCCAAAGCCTGTTGAGATCATGGACTGGATCTCCGAGATGGAAATGGTGTTTGAAAGTTGCGACTGTAGTGAGAAGCAGAAGACTGTCTTCGCTGTGAGACAATTGAAAACTGGAGTCTTGAGCTGGTGGAAGCTATTGGCAGATACAATGCCGCGAGGAGAAGCTCTGAAAATGTCGTGGGATAAGTTCTTGGAACAACTGAAGGCGCACTACTGTTCAGAGATAGATCTCATTGATCTGAACAATGAGTTCCAAAATTTGAAAAAGGGGAAAATGAGCATCGATGACTATGCTGTTGCATTCACGGAAAAGATGAAGTTGTTTCCATACCTAGTGCCAACCGAACTTTCCAAAGTTGAGAAGTTCGCAAACGGACTGCCGGCTGACTTTGGCCTAACAGTCAAGATGGCAACCACTCTGAAATTAGCCGTTCGAGCAGCTAAGAATGTGGAGACCCAACAAAAGGAAAGAGGTCTAGAAAGGGCTGAGGTTGGTGAAAAACGGAAGTTCGATGGATCCTCGAAGTCCAACAAGAAGAGTAGATTCTCGAAGTCTGGTTCGAGAGGAGGAGGATCAGAAGCGAAGTGGTGTGACAAGTGTAAGAAGAAGCACTCTGGGAAGTGTGATGGAGGGGTCACTTGTTTCAAATGTGGAAAGCCTAGGCACTATGCCAACGAATGCAACATTCACTAAGAAGGTCTGTTATGAGTGCAACGAGGAGGGGCACATTTCAAAAGATTGCCCAAAGAAGAAGGAGGTAGGAAGACCCAACATACCACCAAAACCGAAGGCGAGAGCCTTCCAGATGACGCTTGAGGCTGCAAAGGAGGCAGCAGACGTCGCTTCAGGTACCTTTCTTGTAAATGGTTTGCCTGCAAACATACTATTTGATTCCGGAGCCAACTACTCCTTTGTGTCACATAAATTTGGTGGGAAATTAGCATTACCTGTAGAAAAACTTGATAATGCCCTGATTGTAGAAGTTGCCAGTGGCAAATTCGTACCTGTTAGTAATCATATTGGGAACATCGTCATTGACCTAAACGGAAACCAATTCCACGAAGAGCTATTACCCATAGAGTTAAACGGTTTCGACATCGTTTTGGGTATGGATTGGCTTAGCACCAACGATGCTGAGATTCTTTGCAAAAAGAAGATTGGAAGGGTGAACCCACCCGAAAGCGAATCATTTATGGTGTACGGGGACAAACACAGAGTGAATTCTGGAATTATCTCCCTGATAAAAGCCAGTAAATGTTTATCCAAAGGATGTGCATCATACTTGGCATTCGTAATTGATGCTAAGAAGGAGAAGAAAGAGGTGCAGAATATACCGGTTGTATGTGATTATCCAGAAGAATCTTTCCCGAAGATCTTCCCGAATTACCACCTGATAGGCAAGTGAAGTTTTGTATAGACTTGTTACTAGGAACAACACCGATAGCAAAGGCACCTTACCGATTAGCACCAACGGAGATGAAGGAGCTCATGACGCAACTTCAGGAGCTGTTGGACAGCAGTTTCATTCGACCTAGTTCATCGCCCTGGGGGAGCTCCGGTGTTATTCGTAAAGAAGAAAGACGGAAGCATGAGAATGTGTATTGATTACAGAGAGCTGAAGAAAGAAACGATAAAGAACATGTACCCGTTGCCAAGGATCGATGACCTGTTCGACCAGTTACAGGGTTCGAGCTATTTCTCGAATATCAATCTTAGGTCGGGATACCATCAACTAAAGGTGAGAGAGCAGGATATCGAAAAGACTGCATTCAGAATGAGATATGGACACTATGAGTTTTTGGTTATGTTATTTGGGCTAACTAATGCTCCTGCAGCATTCATGGATTTGATGAATAGGTTTGTAAACCATTCCTCGATAAATCTGTGATAGTGTTCATCGACGACATTCTCATCTACTCGAAAAACAAAGAGGAGCATGAAAAGCATCTACGTGAAGTGATAGAAGTTCTGAAAATGGAGAAGTTGTATGAAAAGTTCTCCAAATGTGAATTTTGTATTCAAGAAGTCCAATTCTTAGGTCATGTGATTAACCAAGAAGGAATAATGGTTGATCCAGCAAAGATTGAAGCTGTAATAAAGTGGGAACAACCAAAAAGTCCTACGGAGATTCGAAGCTTTTTAGGATTAGCTGGAAATTACCGAAGATTTATCCAAGGCTTTTCTTTGATAGCCGCTCGATTGACAGCCTTGACCCACAAAGGAGCTACTTATACTTGGAGTGAAAAGCATAAGGAAGCCTTTGAGAAGTTGAAGAAGAAATTATGTGAAGCACCAATTCTTTCTTTACCCGAAGGAGTTGAAGACTTTGTAGTCTATAGTGATGCATCTGGAGTTGGGTTAGGTTGTGTTCTGACCCAGCGAGATAAATTGATAGCATATGCATCAAGACAACTGAAGGAGCATGAAAAGAACTACCCTCCTCATGATTTGGATTTGGCAGCGGTAGTTTTCGCTTTAAAAATATGGAGACATTACCTCTATGGTACGAAGTGCAAACTTTTCACTGATCATAAGAGTCTCTAGTATCTCTTTAATCAGAAGGAACTGAATATGAGGCAATGACGCTGGCTGGAATTACTCAAAGACTACGACTGTGAGATACTTTATCACCCTGGTAAAGCAAATGTTGTTGCTGATGCTCTCAATCGGAAAGTGAACCTTGAAAAGAAAAGGCCAAGAGCGTTGAGAATTGAGGTTGTGTCAACAATTGTGGACAGTATAAAGAAAGCTCAGGAAGAAGCTTTAGGGAAGAATGACCGAAAAGAAGAACGTTTGGGCAAAACATTAGTATTCGGTATAAACAACCAAGGGTTGAAGGTATTCCAAGATAGGATTTGGGTACCTAAGACAGGAGGAGTAAGAGATGTTTTGATGGAAGAAGCTCACAAGACCATGTACTCGA